GCGTTCAGACTTCGCGATGACGCGCGTTGGCGCGTTACAATTGCCCCAGCGCCCCAGTCACATAGACGCAAACGCAGCCGTTGACGGGAATCGATCAGCGCCGCCCTCCTGTGTATTCAAGAGAGTGTGGGGGAACAGGAATGTTCACGTTGCCTAATCATGCAGTCTGGTATCGATCGCCACTAGCCACTGGGGCTTTGGTTGAGTAGAGAGGAACGCGAGAATACCAGACTGTTTGTGAAGGCAGCTCCTCCTCTCCTGTTCCCCCACACTGTCTCAGTACACAAGCGAACGGTGCTGATCGATTTCCGCCTGCTGCTGCGTTCGGGTCTTTAGGATAGGAGCGCTGTCGCAACAGCAGCGCGTCGACGCGCACTACAGCCCGTCACAGCGCGCTGACGCGCGTTATCGCGAAGTCTGAACGCTGCCTTGGTTATTTCTAGTTGTTCCGCCTCTGACGTACTCTGGGTTGGACTAGTTCCTCGTCTGCCAACTGTGACTGCGTTTAGTAGTCACTGTATATTACTGACTTTTCTGAGCTTTAGCTTTTTCCAGTATCTGTCCAGTGATTTTTGACCTCATTTCAAGTACAATGACGAGTTTCTTGTCCTTCCATTGTCAATGTGATATATTGAGCAATTTGTATTACTTTTTTGATCGTTCTTGTTGTGTCCTCTTCACTGTGCCTCGAATATTTCTCTTGTTATATTTGGTTTAAGAAAATGAAAAGTTTTCGAAACGTTCATTCTGGTGCCCTTAAAATGGTGTACTTTACGGTATACCTTACGAGCTCGACATGCTTTTATACTCTATATCGCGGACATGGGTAGGGCGTGGCTGCGTTTTTCATTTGGGCAGCAGCATGAGATTTCGTTAGGACATGTTCATTTGGGACCACTGCGCTCAGTGAACGTCGTGCGCTGGGAATCCCAGTGTGGTTTCGTATTTGGTCGCTGAAGAGGAGGGGAGGGGGAGGGGGAATCTCGCCTAGGAAGTTTTTCTGTTGATTTTCTAGTTACACGCACTCTAGTGCTCCACAGACCCCCCCCTACTCCACATCCCAAATTTTTGGGAAAGCTGAGCATCGATCGATTGTGGAAGGTTGTAATACAGGAGGAGAAAACTGGGGGAGGGTCGTGGGGAAAATTCTCTCCAACTGTAATACGTGCCCTGGCTGTGATCCTACCTTGTATTAGATGAAGACATGATTACATGTGTCCAAAGACGGCAGTATCCCGCCAAAAGCGCAGCCGCCGCCACGTTCAAGTGAAGCACGCAGCCACGCCCTCGCATTTCGAGGATATGGAAAGGCGTAAAGCAATCACAGCTATTTCTATCGGAAAACATTACGTCTGAAATATCCACTGTCACCTCTGAAGGGCAGTCGACAAGTGTACCTTTGCAAACCCTCAATCCTCTCCTCTATGGCTAGATTACGTCCTCCCTTTTGTTTTTTTTTCACAGTAGGTGCTGTTCGATGGCGCAGACCAAGTACTCACCCATATGTCTGTGGTTTTGATAATATGCATATTGCATTTCAGCGTCTCATCATGAGAACGACTAAGCTGTTCGGATGTCATTCGTTAGCACGGGAGAGCTCCCAGGGTCTTACCAACGGTGTTAAGCTTGGAGAGCTAATTTCGGGCAGGTAAGTGTTTTTAGAGCCTACAGTGGGGTGTTTGAATTTCTCACAATGAAGCAGTGGGGAACCAGCAGTCGGATCTGTCGCCCATTATTATTCTGGTATAGGAGCGAGTGGAGCGTTTGCTGCATGTTCCGAGAGGGTGTTAATCGTGCCGGCGTAGTTGATTCTATTACGACAAGTCGCCGCCAAACTACCACTGATGCTACTCAATTGTCGGCCACATCAAGCGGATAACTGTGCTCAAGCGCATAGATAGCCGTCTTGGCACGCTCAAAATTGCGTCATCAGGCTCGATTCAAAGAAGAATCTGGGAAAGTGGATCATTTTTGTTCACACTTTAATGATCCAAGCACGGTACTGGCCTAGAAGTCTTACAGTGAGATGAACTGCTGGACCTCAATAGGGGACCTCAGTAGGAAACTTTATAAAATACTCAAAAATACTTCTAAAACTTCTTGTAGAAATATATGCGGAAATGACGTGGGACTCTGTGGTGTCGTGAAGTCTAGCTGTTTCTGTTTCGGTCGTTAGGGCGTGGCAGGGGGCTGGGTTTGGCGCTGCGCCAGCCCTTTTCCACCAATTGTTGTTGCTTACACACATCAACAATTGGTGCAGAACACCGCTGGAAAAAGAATTCCTTGAAAAGGACGCATCGCGGCAATCAAGGCGATGAGGGAATTTGCTCGTTCAGCCCGAATCCCGTCCTTCCCTGTTTTCTTCACTACAACCCTCATTCCAAAAGCTTAGCTTAATGTAACCGACGGCCTCGGCTCCTCCGCTTAGCAGGTCATATTGCATGCCTACACTCCATGTCCTAGAGGTGGGGAGGGCGTGGCGGCGGCTGCTCTTGTGGAAGATATTTTCGTTTTGGAAAACAGCACAAGAAAGGATGACAATTGTCTCCTTGAAAAGAGAGGATAGGAAAGCATGAAGCTTTCTCCGCTGTTCAATCCCTTTATGGGGTGTGGCCCACATTCCTTTTCCATTCAGAATCTTAGAGGCTTCTTGAAGGCGAGGTGGCCTACAGAATGTCTTGCAGGGCCAGCCAATGTGCAAACCAACGCTTGGGCCTGGTGCCAATTCACTGTCTCCAATGGGTGGAGTGGCTGGGGCGGATAACGACCATGCAAAACTTTCTTGATCGTCTTCTTGAAAAGGGCTAAGTTCTGGGCATCAATTTGATGCCGTTTTGCATTCCTTTGTCCCCAAAATAGCAAACTGTCAATGCGGCGAAGAATTTGGCTAGAAATGGAAATGGCGCTGTTATTGCCGCCTGAATCGCCCTCTTAAATCGACTGACCTGTGCGTTGGGATGATGAGAGGGGTAAAGCTGCTGTGCTTTAGCCTAATTGAGTGAAGCTGTCTTATAGAGGTATTAAAGCGCTGAAATTAGGCAGTAAATCGGCCACAGCACTAAGTGCTCTCAAAGCGGCAGATGATCTGTTGTGAATAGAGAAATGCTTGAGCTCTGGACGGAACGGTGCATAGCTTTATTCTCTAGGACTAGTGTTTCTCTTGTTCTTCATCGGTCGGCATTTGGCATGGGACGACTCGATCACGACGGTCCTGGTCAGCCTTCTTCCACTTTGTACGACGATTTTGAAACCAAATTTTTACCTGGAATATGGAATTGCTTGATTTCTCCTCAACTGTCTTGAGCCGTGATTACCTGGGTTTCTGTGACATGAAGGTTTTTGGCGAGCTCACTGCGCTCAGCGCTTGAGAGATACTTCTTTGACTCAAATCTGGAATACTCATCTGTACTCAATTGAAGAAAATAAACATTAAAGAAAATTCATGCGAAAAAAGCGGCAGAGAGATTCAACCATAGGTATAACCTTCCTCAAAAATTGGGTATCTTGTTTTGTTATATAAAAGTCTGTTCAGCGTCGCACGCCGACCTCCGAATGTTACCGAGGAATACCTCAATGGTTTGGTAAGCCTATGGTGCGAAACAGGGCACGCCATCGCGTTGTGATCATCTAATGAAAAATACGACCCCCACCACCTACTTCCATCCTCGAATACGACTTCCCTCTCCATGCTACCTACCACTTTCCTAAATTTTCCCAACTTCCTACCAATTTTTCCATTTTTTCCCTACAAAATCTGAAGTTTTCAGCCAAGAATTTTCCGTCGAGGGGGGAGGGGTCGTCAAGGTTTGACATTTTCAACTATCGGAAATAGCCATTGTAGTGGATCATCCTGTCTACACGAGCTGTCTCTAACCAAACGACCACAATTACACTAACCCCTCCCCCGCTCAATAACGACCTCCCGTGTGGTCATTCTCAACTGACTCGGCGTGTCTGGTAGCGATAAACCGAATTATCTGAGAACAAGAGCGACCTCTTGGGTAATGGATAACGCACTCGCCTGGGACGCGTAAGTTCGGTTCGATTTAGGCCCGGACCAACTATCATAACTCGCGTCTTGCTAAATTTTGGTAAGACCATGTAAATCTACGTCAAAATAGAAGGAGACAGAGAACTTCGTTGCTGAACGCTAAATCTCGGCTAGACGAGAACTTTGAGCAATAAACTGAAGTGATCAATATTTCTTTTCTCTCCCGCGCGTCGTTTCAATCTCCGGATCAGCCTTCCGCATGGCCACTAGATTGGCCTTCTATCTCACGGAGCCCCTAAATTGTCATATCGGTCTGGAGGTATGCAACACTGATTTCGCCATTGGCTAGGCTCAACAAGTCCGTGCATGAACGTCATTCGCATTTCATAAGTCACTATGAATAGAATAAGTGCCATCAAAAGGATTGGCACTGACTTGTACATCGCTGGCCTAGCAATTCGCTTTGCAGACCAAACCACATCCCAATGCTACTACGACTCCGAATGAAAGTGAAATGCGTTGCGCATCTCAATGAAAGCCGGGCGCATTGTCCCTTGCAAGGGAAGGCCGTTGCAGCATCTTGGCATCTCAGAGCACTACTACGACAATAAGGTTCCATCAAAGAGATAACGTATCACTCAAAGTTTCATTGGGAGCTTAACAAACGTGGAAGTTCTGAAGTTGCAGAAATTTTGGGTGCCGAGGGGTGAGGGAGGGACTGAAGAGGCTTAGAGAGTGAAGCTTGATGGCTCTGGGTAGGAATGACTAGCATTGTACCCACAGTAGGTGCAGTACCCTGTTTGCTGAGATCAGCACCTCTACGGTTGAACTGGTTACAGCTTCATGCTTTTGGCCCCATAATAACTCCCATAACTCCTTATCGTCAAAAGACTCCTAAGGTTCATAAGTCAATGCAATCGCACGAGCTCCATTGACAGCTATACTGCCAGCTACAATTGTCAGATTAGGGACTAAGGCATCTGGGCGCAGTTCGACTTTGTGGGGGCACTGAGTGGTACTCAGCTGAGCTTATACAGGCTACCTTGGGGAAAACCTGTAGATCCCTGCGACCAAAGTAGCTCGCTCGCACCCAGGGCACGCCATCGTTGTGATGATCACAACGGGGGCGGCGTATTTGACCGCAAGGGAGGGGCGGGTCGTATTTGGTTCTGAGAAAATTTTTTTTTGATAGTTTGATTTCTCTTGGGAGAGGGGGGGGGGGCGGGTCATCTTCTGGTCGTTGTTGGGCGGACGGGCTACCATTCGAATAAAGTTGAAAGATGACAGATAAATTTGAAGCAACTTCCCCCCCCCCCGTTTTACGGAAAATTCTTAGCTGAAAAACTGGAATTTTCGGTGGAAAAAGTGGTATAAAGTTGGGGAAAATTCTAGTGAAGTACGGCTAGTATGCGAGTATAGGGGGGTGTACTTGTGGATGGAACTTGGGGAAGGGGTTCGTGTTTGTTCAGGAAGAAAATGATCACAACGCGATGGCATGCACTGCCTTCGCCACCATCTCCAGGTCGCAGCTCCACAGGAGTTTCAGGTATCACGAAAAGAGTCTTTAACATGACGCGCTAGCATGGGAACAAGCAGTGAGTGCAAATGCCCCTTAAGCCTAAGAGCTCCAAGCACCAGACATACTGGTTTATATCATTAGCCACATGCACTGGCTGAAAAGCTTGATAGGTTCCTCAGGATGCGAGCACAATTCCGGGAGTCCCTGATAGCGACCCCAAACTAAGTCTTTTCCCGATTCATTATCCTTTATCCTTCCAGGGTGGAGATGGCTTCGACTGGGCCTGTAACGCTTCGGCATTTTTGTGGTAGAGGCTCCCGCCTATTATACCACTTTCATGGCGGAGGGGGGGGGCGGAGCCAATCCGCATGCCTCTCGCTGAAATCAGGGCTTTGGCGAGGGCATGAGGCCGCCGTACGATAGCCCCTTATAAGGGCAACTGTGGAAATGCTGCACTTGATTCAACCGCTAGGACCAAAGTACGTACTGCTTTTCAAGTTCGAAGATCTGACGTCCACTGAACGTCGTTCTCGCCTTTTTCTTCTTAATCGGCCTATTCGTATTCTCCGTCAAATTCTCCACTGAAAACAACCAATTAGTCAATTGCTAGCCCGATTATTCGCCAAAATGGTGCCGGCAACGAACCACTTCTCCCAAAATCGTCCAATTGAGGAGACTCATCGATTTCACCGATTATGTCCTTAATGAAGTACGATGATCGTTTTTGTGGTAGCGAATAGCACGAGTAGAACGGCAGATACGGTAGAATACTAGAAGCGAACAGTCCAAAAGGATAGGCCATAATAGCGAACGTCCTACAGAGCTGTCACGTCGTCGTCGTTGTCCGCCAGAGGATACTGTAATCGCTCTGCTCGACGAGCTCCGCCCTTGGCAAGCTCAGTTGCAAATGAAATCAAGAAATCTTCGTCTTGGGAGAACTCGGCCGCGAATTGAAGCACCTCAATCAGTGTAGATTACTCAGCAAATGCTTCCTCAAGCAAATTGAACGGCTTGGCCAAATTTCATGATACTGCTTTACTGAATCCAACATATTGGGGCTATACAAGTAAGGCTATGACGTGAGCCCAAGAAGCCCACTGACAATTAAATTCTGGACTCACGAAACTTATAGAAACGTCTATATTGCTTGTTGGTTCTATTGGAAGGATCGAAAAATGGAGGCTCCTTATCAAACATTCATTCTGGAGTGCGCCGTGCCTTGAACTTCCAATCAGAACCCTTTGTAGAGTGTTAAATCTGTTAAGCAGTAGCAGCGCTCGTTTCGGTGCATTCCTTATCTAAAGGTGCATTCCGTTATTATCTGGTCCGCAAAATCCCTTCTTTTTCCATAAAGTCTGGTTCGCAATCCCAAAAGTTGTCCCCTTCGCGACTCGAAGTGATGGCGAGGGCGCGACCAATCGGAGCAACGCCACTCGTAGAAGTTGCCCCTCCTCCTCCATTAGTTAAGATAGGCCCCGGATTTTAGCAGGCAGAGCGGTTTTCACAGACAGCCTAGAGAGACATTCTGGGATGGCATGGGTAGTAACGTGCAAAGTTAAATTGTAGGAAAATGAATGAGAAAATCCGTAGAAAAAAGAATGAGAGAAATAGTTTGAAATGTCCTAGCTGTGGAACAGTGCTTTTAGGGTCATTTTCAGCGCTGTGCTAGTGAGCGGCAAAGATTCATCAAGTGTCGGAAGAGAGACTAGACACGACGAATCGACAGAGCATAGAGATGGACGAGACGACAGACATCAATACTTGAGAACCGTTCTAAGATGGAACCGCGTTGGATGGGTGGTGCAATACCTACCAAATGGGCCCTTAGAGTCTTTGTTACCCAGTTTTGAGTCGCTCAAGTGGCCTTAGCCACTGCGGTCCATTTCTACCCTCGAAAGTAACGTTCACCAAATTGAAACGTTGAATGTGTCCTTGGAGCACCTCGCTCAGGCCCTTTTCTCCTCTCTAATAGTAATTCCGCCTCATCATCTTCTGCTGTTGTTGGAAATCCCCACATTCTTCTACCTGTCGTCTGTTATTATCTGATGATGAAGTCGATCATTGTGGTGTCCTTTCATTCTTCCTTAGCAGCTGCTTTTTGTCTCTTCCTTTGGGCTCTGAAGTCCTTTTCGTCATGAAATGGTCCTCTGGCCTTCGTAGCATATGTCCATATGAACACAGTCGTTGCTCGCATGGCGCGCACGTTTCCATGATCGTTCCTTCCTCGTTTTTGGCATTGTCAAGTTGTGTCACCCAGCAGGCCTACCATAATCCCATTTCAATGGACCGAAGTGGCTTGACATGGTCCGTGGCCCAGGGAGGGGGACCATTCGCAGCCCTAGAGCATCGCAGTTCCGGCACCTTACCCTTGAGCGACTTGGAGCCCTGCCAATTACAGAGAATACCATCAAACTCTTCCAAGTCTACATTAGGCTGGTCAGCGGTCTACAATGGATTCTGAACAGTCTTTGGTACTGTTGAATTTGCCCCTTCTCCCGCATGAGCTGGAGAGCGTTCTCTTCCAGTATTCCTTGAAACTTTTGAATCTTGCTGTGGTGTCCCACTGCGTCTTTACTGAATCCACTGCTGCCCTGAACGTTACTATCAGTAGCTAGATAGCTTTCTATGTATCAGAAGTCCTTCTTTCTTCGGTGCTGTTCCCATATCCCCCTTCCCCTCCCAATACGATCTGCTTTGCCTCCTTACTATTTTCAAAGGCAGCATGAGTATCCAATCACCTGGAGCCGGTGAAGACCGGTGAAGAGAAGGATGCGCACTGATCAGGAACGTCAGGGTTAACTGGTCCAGTCTTAAACCTATTCGTCCCTCTTCTTCAGCTTTATCCCCATGACCTCCCTAACTTCAGGCTTGTAGTAACTTCAAAAAAAGGTTTGCAGTTTGAAAAATTCGTCGTTGGAGCTAGATTGGAGGAAATGCTCAGGATGCATAGCCGCTCTGATGGCGATTTCACCTCATCACCAATATTTTCAGCCCATCAGTAGCGATACTTTTAGCCTGAAACCTCATGCTCTCAGGTTACCGAGCAATTGCTTTGTTTCCAAGATGACACCGTACCATGTAACGTTTTGGTAGTAAGTAGCAAAGCAAAGATGCAAAGACTGTTGTGGTCCTACCCGGAGATGAACGCCATAGTTCCGCAAGCTAGTAATGTTTTCTTACCCTCCCTTTTTTTTCAAGCTCTCCTGTGCTCAAGTCAGCGTCAACAATGGCTTTTAGAGAGTTTTCACGGTTTCGCTGGCTTTTTTTTTCCTTCAGCGGCGACCGAAAAGCTCCGCAGTTTCTTATTTGAACACCACTATCGATGACTTGCAATCGTAGAATGACTCTTCTGTTGGAACAAATTAAACATAGTCCTTTTCATTGAAGCGATTTTTGTCTCCTGTTGATGGTCCAGCGCTAGTATTTTGTCCTCTATCACTAGACCCATTCATTTTCCTGGGCTCATTGTCGCGTGTTTTTGGAGCGGCGTCTTGTTCACTCAGCTCCTGAGGGAAGCCAGTTCATGGCTATTTGAGAAGGTCAGTGTTTTGCCGCGTGTAAAACTTGGCCCGTTAGTTAAAGTCGTGCCACAAACACGTGCCACTCGTACCACAACGACGCAGAACTCCTTCAATTGTGAGACAATCTGCCTAATCTGTCTATTTTTTTTGAACTGAAATAATTATTACTGATGTAAAGCATTTATATTAGGCTGGAAAGAAAGTCCTGTCATTGTTTTTGGAAGCTTGTAGCGCTTTTGATTCTTGATGCTCGAACATGACGGTAACATCCTATGCTTGTAGAACTCTAATAAATAGGAGCTTTTCCGCAGGAGTGACTAAAGCACCTGGTCTCCCTGGGTTTAGTTACGAAGCCAGTTTCACAGGAGCATCTTCGAATCATCATTTTCTATGAAAGACTCCGCGGCACTGGAGCAGCGAAAGCTGTTGAAAACATCAACAGTGCCTTAGGGAGGAAATCATTACCATCAGGACTGTCCACCTCTGGTTCGCTCGCTTCGCGAAAAGAGACACGATCCTCGAAGGCAAACTTCGATTGGGACGGCCCTACGAAGTGTAAGACTCCACCGTTCTCAAAGCTGTCAAAGGGATCTGGAGGCTACCACCCGCAGTCTTGCGACCAGGCTCGGATGTACCTAATTGTCAGTCGTCAATCACCTGTAAGCCCTTGACTTGCCTTAGACCGATGGCACGCTGCGCACCCGGGTACCCCTTGGTCAGTCTCCCCTTCTCGCCCTCGTCAGAAGGTGTTTCTGGGAGACTGCTTAGTGGAGATGACAGATGGGTCCTCTGTGATTTCAACCCACACAGTAACGTGTGTCTCTCTCAAGGAGAAGGCCCATCCTAGCAGTCCAAACCTGGGATGCATTCCGAGAAGGTTTTCCTCTGCTGCTTCTGGGAGGCGAAGGGAATGCTGGGCAAGGAGCTGCTCTGTGAGAACACACAGTCACCGCTACCATTTGTGCCGCCCAGCTCCAGAAACCCTTGGAAACTGTTGAAGAAAAATGACCGAGACTAAGCTTTGAGGCACCTCGTTCGTGAGGACGCGAGTCCCCCATACTGCTTTTTTCTGCCACGGAATCCTTCCATCCCCGAGTTCATGTAAAACGAACTGCCTACACCTAGCTCCCGAATCATTTTTTTGCCTTCTAGCCGCAAATGCATCACATCACTGAAACAGCGTCGACATATCCTAGGTATCGCTCGCACAGTGCAGTGAAAATATCCTTGCCAGGCCACTTCCTGTTACTGAGGAAAATTTCCAGAAAAGAACCCCCCCCCTCCTAAAGTTCCTCCTTTGGCATGACCACTCCTCTTTCCCCGGGCTACCTAACATCTTCCTAAGTTTTCTTCACCTTTGTAACACTTTCTCCCCACTATGGGAATCGAAATACGATCCCTTCCCCCGGGTGGGGGGAGTGTAACCAGGGAAAATTTCCTAGGACTGAATACGACGGCCCTCTTGTCAGGCACTCACCAGCGTACAACGTGCACCAGTGCACTGAGAAAATGTGTGGGACCAATAAAGGAAGTGTGATATAAAAGGATAAAGTCTTTCGCCGTCAATCAATCCCTTTGTGGGATGCGGCACGCATTCTACTCCTATTAAAAATCGTGGTGGCTTATTGCTCCCAGACGAATCTGGTACCAATTTACCGTCCCCGGAGGGTAGAAGGCTTGGTTGGCCTGGGCGGGTGTCGACCTGGGATTCGAACCCAGGACCGCGCGAGTGGTAAGCGCGCCACTTGTCACTACACCACCTCCGCCTCAAGTGTGATATAACTCCTCCAAAACGCTGAGTAAGGGGAGCTAGGTGAACAAAACATCCTCAACTATTCTGGAGAATGAAAGAATAAGGTCTTCGCCGTCGACCAATTCCTTTTTGGGAATTTTGCGGTTAACTCGTGCGGAAGCCGATTCCGGACTAGACCACGGACCGCTCGTTCTAAGTCCGGAATCGGGTCGCTTTGGTTAGCCTGCCAGCCTGCTATCACAATAAATTTTTCTCAGCCCAAATACGATCCCCGCCCGCTCCCAGCGACCAAATACAACCCCGTGTTGGGGATTTTCTAAATAACGATGTGCCCTGAGGGAGGGGAGGATATACAGCCAATGTGAAACGGGAAAACCGCGAAAAGACAACAACCGAGAAAATTTTTTCCCGAAGCGACAACGTTTTTTCTCTTAAATGCACATACGATCCTTCCCAACAACGACCAATACGACCTACCTTTTCCTTCCCCCCTCCCCAGCGACCAAGTACGACTCACCACACACAACG